AGTGGAGGGTTACCAGCAGGCAACCTTAACCCCAAAATTTGCCCCCTTTTTTTAGTACCCCTGCGCGCCCCAATGCACTAGGCGAACTGTGCCGGAAATGGGACGGGGGCGGCCTTCCAGTGGTCCGCCAGCACCAAGTACACGGGGGGGGAGGCCCCCCCCCCCCCCCCCTCCCCTCCCCCCTCCCCCTCCCCCGAAGCGCCTCGCCTCACCGGCCAAGAGGGCGTGGACAGAGCCCTCCCTACTCTGTGTGGCACGCGGGTGCGTGCGTCCTCTCTACGCGGTCCGAGCGAGGTGCTGCCTCTGACGGACCGCAACGACGGAGAGTGAGTCGGTCGCAGGTGCGTCCTCTTCGCGGACGCGCCGGAGCGTGTTCTGCCCGTCCCCGGCCACGAGCTGGCCGAAGCAGCACAGGCGAGTGAGCGCTCGAGGAGTACAGTCGGCTCTTGCTGCTCTGTCTAGGCTATGAGTGCTGGCTCAAGGAGCTGGCGCCGCAGGGCGGCGGGGCGCGCGGCGGGAGCGCGCGCGGGCGGAGCCCGAGCAAGGAGAGGGCACCTCCTCGCAGTACATTGACTGCTCGGACTATGCTACTAACCACTGCTGCTACTACTATTACCAGGAGGGCACCTCCTCGCAGTACATTGACTGCTCGGACTATGCTACTAACCACTGCTGCTACTACTATTACCAGGAGGGCACCTCCTCGCAGTACATTGACTGCTCGGACTATGCTACTAACCACTGCTGCTACTACTATTACCAGGAGGGCACCTCCTCGCAGTACATCGACTGCTCGGACCCGGGCGTGGCGACCTCCGAAGGCGCCTCGCACAGCACGCAGCGCTGAAGGGCCGCGCATCCGTCCAACTCGTTCATTGAGCGCAGAGTCCTCCTGCAGGCACCTCGTACTCGAGCCAGGGGGTGTGCTGTGAACGGCGTCTCTTCACACCTCCTGCTGTGAACAGGCACCTCGTACACGAGCCTGGGGGTGTGCTGTGAACGGCGTCTCTTCACACCTCCTGCTGTGAACAGGCACCTCGTACGCGAAGCTGAAGGGCTTCGCCCTCAAGCAGGGGGGCGCCACGTGCCAGCACCACGCCAGGCCAGGCGCGAACTCGCTAGATCCTAGGCCTCTCCTAGACCCTTCCTAGACCTCTCCTAGACCTCTCCTAGACCTTTCCTAGCCCCTTCCTAGCCCCTTCCTAGCCCCTTCCTAGACCCTTGCTAGCAGCACGCAAAGCCGGGCGCGAACTCGAGATCACCCGAGATCACCCGAGATCACCCGAGATCACCCGAGATCACCCGAGATCGCCGTGAGATCGCCAAGCCGGGCGCGAGCTCTCTCGCGGCGCGGCGCAGAGGTCGCTGTGTACCGCGGCAGCGCCGCCTCCGAGGCGCCACCAGAGAGAGAGAACCAGAGAGAGACTTCGCGTCTCGAGGCGCAAACTTCGGCTGCGGTGGTGCGCCTGGCGCGGGCGTGTGCTGCCTCGACATGCGAGGTGCCGAGACCCGCGCGGCGCGAGCCCGTGGGGTGTGCTGTGGACGGCGTCTCTTCACACCTCCTGCTGTGAATTAGGCGCCGACCTGCGCGGCGCGAGCCTGAGGGACGCAGACATGGGCGGCGTCGACCTGTCGGGCGCCTGGCCTAACCTCTCCTAGACCTCTCCTAGACCTCTCCTGGACCTCTCCTAGACCTCTCCTAGACCTCTCCTTAGACCTCTCCTGGACCTCTCCTAGACCTCTCCTTAGACCTCTCCTAGACCTCTCCTAGACCTCTCCTAGACCTCTCCTAGACCTCTCCTGGACCTCTCCTAGACCTCTCCTTAGACCTCTCCTAGACCTCTCCTAGACCTCTCCTAGACCTCTCCTAGACCTCTCCTAGACCTCTCCTAGACCTCTCCTGGACCTCTCCTGGACCTCTCCTGGACCTCTCCTAGACCTCTCCTAGACCTCTCCTAGACCTCTCCTAGACCTCTCCTGGACCTCTCCTAGACCTCTCCTAGACCTCTCCTGGACCTCTCCTGGACCTCTCCTAGACCTCTCCTAGACCTCTCCTAGACCTCTCCTGGACCTCTCCTAGACCTCTCCTGGACCTCTCCTAGGCCTCTCCTAGACCTCTCCTAGACCTCTCCTTAGACCTCTCCTAGACCTCTCCTGGACCTCTCCTAGACCTCTCCTAGACCTCTCCTGGACCTCTCCTAGACCTCTCCTAGACCTCTCCTAGACCTCTCCTAGACCTCTCCTGGACCTCTCCTAGACCTCTCCTAGACCTCTCCTAGACCTCTCCTAGACCTCTCCTAGACCTCTCCTGGACCTCTCCTAGACCTCTCCTATGATCATATAAGCTGAGTCTGGCTCATCACAGCCTCCCACGAATGGCACACGGAACCACAGGCCTGGCCTAGACCTCTCCTAGACCGTTCCGTCCCTACACGGCTCCTAGACCTCGCCCCACGAATGGCATGCGGAACCACAGGCGCGCGACTCGACTGCGCCGACCTGCGAGGCGCGAACCTCGCCGGCGTCAACGCGGAGGGCGCGCCGCCGCCCTATCTCCCCCTCTCTCCCCTACCTCCCCCCTATCTTCCCCCATCTCCCCCCATCTCCCCCTATCTCCCCCCCGATCTCCCGCCGCCCGAGGCGATGGACACACGCACTCACCCACACACACGGGTCAGGAGCGGGGGGGGCTGGCCGTGCGCGGTGTAGGCGCAACCTTCCGCGGCGCTGTGAACGGCGTCTCTTCACACCTCCTGCTGTGAATGTAGGCGCAACCTTCCGCGGCGCGTATTTGTGGAAGGCGAAGCTGCAGGGCTCGCTGTTGCTTGGCGCCGACTTCACCGGCGCGGAGACGGAGGACGTGTCTGCGGGGATGGC